AAGCAGCTATGTACTCCGCTTCGCATGTAGATCCTTCAATATGGGTATATTTCCTCTAGGGTATATTTCCTTCAATATGGGCCTAAGCCCATCCATAATCCATCAATTCCCCACCAGATCTCGAGGCACATAAGTTTGACAACTGTTCCAAACAATGTTTGATATACCAGAATTTTCAGTGCAGACTGTTAAGTTGAACTTCCACCTAGAGCAATAGGATTAGACTCTTCACAACTGAACAATGGACTATGCCTTGAATTGTCAGTTTGGCTGTAGAAGTTTCGCCTATTGTCAGCTGATACGTGGCTGTCGAAGGCTAAACCCCACGGGTGGAGCTTATTAGTCATACTCCGTACCTTCTCATGAGCTTCCTAAAGATCACCCAATCTCATAGACTGTGACCAGTAGTCGGGCTCACATAGGTGTGTTCCTCCAAAGAATGCCCTGTAGGTTAGCATCTTGCTTACATAAGCTTTGGAACACATTAAGACAAAAGTCAGCTTGCCTTACAGAATTGAGAGTATTATTGCATCCCCAACGGAGTGGGATAATTAAGGATACTCTCCTCAGTTGACCGCTGCATTGTTTTCCCATGTCCTAATTCACGGGATCTCCGATCACATAGGTTGGGTTACCCCCATGGCAACTTACATGGGTCTCATACCCTTCTCCCTCGATGCATTTCCTGTCACAATCCGTGATAGCCCTTTCGTAAAAGGGTTTGTCAGATTCTTAGCCGTCTGGATATAATCCAGCGCTATTACTCTGGAGTTTCTTGATTTTCTGACAGATTTTAATCTTCTTGTTATGTGCTTTGTGGATTTCAAGTTGTCCTTTGAACTCTTAGCCTTGGCAATCACTGTTTGATTGTCACAGTTCATAAGGACAGCCGGGACTGGTTAAGATTGTCTTCTTGCAAGACTTCTAGGAAACAGCATCACCACCAAGTGTGAAGACATATCCACTTGTGGCTTTCATCTCATCAGCATCAGATATCCAGTTAGAATCACTATACCCCTCAAGTATCGTCGGGTACCCAGAATAGTGAATCACGTAGTTTACAGTACCTTGCAAATAGCGCATCACTCGCTCAACAGCATGCCATTGCACATCTCTCGGATCGAGAACAAACCGGCTCAGTTTGCACACAGCAAATGAGATATCAGGGCGAGTAGCACAAGCTAGGTACATGAGTGAACCAACCACTTGAGAATATCTCAATTGATCTACAGCCGTGCCTTCGAACTTTCGAATCCGCACGCTGGGATCATATGGTGTTGCAGAAGGTTAGCAGTCCGAATATCCAAAACGGCTCAAAATCTTCTCAACATAGTGGGATTGCAAAAGTGTAATTCCACCATCAGTATTTCTCAGTAGCTTGATGTTCAAGATAACATCAGCCACACCCAGGTCTTTCATCTCAAAGTTATGAGATAGAAAAGCCTTGACCTCCTCAATTACTTTGAGGTGGGTCCCAAATATCAATATGTCATCAACATACAGACACAGTATAACTCCTTTGCCCCCACCATAGCGATAGTATACACATTTGTCAACTTCGTTAACAACAAAGCTAGCAGATGTCAAAGTTGTATTAAACTTCTCATGCCATTGCTTAGGCGCTTGTTTCAGGCCATACAAAGATTTCACTAACTTACATACCTTTCTTTCCTGACCATTTACTACAAACCCATCTGGCTGTTGCATGTAAATTTCCTCGTCTAGCTCTCTATTAAGGGAAGCCGTCTTAATGTCCATCTGATGAACGAGAAGACCACACGAGGCAGCCAAAGCGAGTAACACTTGAATGGTTGTCAGCCTAGCTACAGGTAAGTATCAAAGAAATCATCTTCTTCCTTTTGGGTATAACCCTTGACCACAAGCCTAGCCTTTTACTTCTCAACAGTACCATCAGGCCTAAGCTTCCTCTTGAACACCCACTTACATCCCAATGGTTTGCAACCATAAGGACGATCAGTGATCTTCCATGTCCCGTTTGCCAAGATGGAATCCATCTCGCTGCGGACTTGCATCATTGTTGGTGAAGCAAATGCATCTGAATTTCCATCCATGAATACTGCATTTGAATTTTATTTTTTAAATTTCTAATTAGTTAGCTGTAGCGTGGGGTGGAAATGAAGCGCTACTAGTACATACGATGGTAGTAGCGTGGGAGTAGAAAGCAGCGCTACTAGTACTTAGAATATCTGCAACGTGGGGTAGAAAACGCGCTACTGCTAAAATTTAGCTGTAGCGCCGTAGCGCGGGCACCCACGCTACTGGTAAGGTTTTCCCTAGTAGTGGGAGTTACCCCCGTTGTCCACCTTGGACCGCTCCAAGGCAATGTGGATGGCCGGCTCCTCGTCGGCGTCGAGGTCGGAGCCGAAGTGGCTGCCGGAGCTCGACATTGGCCGGAGTGGATCGAAATCGGAGAGGGGAGAGGAGAGGATGAAGCGAGAGAGGGGAGTAAGTGAGCTAGGGTTCCGAGCAAGGAGCTGGATGGGATTTTTCATGGGACAGACGTGGGGTCGGTTGTGGGCCGGGCCTGCCAGCTCCGACGCGGCGAACACGCCCGGGCGTGCCCGAACCGCCTATATCCGCCCTACATTTGGGCCGGATATGAGGGGCGCCGGACAGCCCGTGCGTTTGAGGCCGGTTTGAGGCATCGGGGTGGATCAATTTCTGTGGCCGGTCAGCCCACCCGAACGTTTGAGACGGGTTTAGGGTGCCCGGCTCTTAGCCCCTAATCTATGTCGTCAATGGAGTTCCGACATGGATGAGTTTGGGGGATATGTAGTCAAGCCCCGCTGCCTTTTATCTCTTATTTATTTGCCTGGTTTGGAATGGTATAATTGTCGACATGTAATTTAGATATAGGCCTATAGAAAGGAAGATGAAGCAGAAATGCAAGAAATCGAGGGGAGGGGGTGAACAGTACAAAAGCTAACTAGAAGGGCAATGCCTAATTACATTGTTAATTCCAGTTGCTTGGTTGATTAGTGTCGTACAGTATAATTCAGATAATACCATAGTGGGTTTTTTTATTCAGAGAAAGCACTTGATAGGTGGGGTTCAAAAGAAGCAACTGATAGCGCTTGGTTGATGTTACTTGATTGTTTGTTCCTGACCATTAGGGGAAGAAATTTAGGGGAAGCATTGGCAATGCTAAATTGGCGAGAAGAGAGCAAGAGCAAGACAATGAACATGGAAAAGGTTCGGATTCCTTTGCTACATGTACACCATCTTTGCCTGCTTTGCTTCTAATTTCCCATTCCTATAATCCTTCTTTCCAAACCCCCTTCATTACTGTACTAATATGTTGATGGATCTTGTTTTTAATTATAATTAGTTCAAATATAGGTTGCCAGAATACTGAGTTCTGAAACGTGGCATGCTGGATTTATGCATCATGGCTCGCTAGATATTGCTCTGTTTTAGACCAGACCCAGAAAAGGTGCGTAT